TGCTTCATTATCTGATGTGAGTCCTTCAAAGTACCGGAATTACATGCTTCGTGTCGAATCTCTGCCAATTCTCACAAACGTTTCCTCGCTACCGCAGCTCCGTGTCCCCATTACGATTAGCCCGTTTGCATCAATATCTAACTTGAATTTAAAATATCCCACCCCATTGCGAACATCAGTATCGGAGCAGTGCATACATTACGTCAGAGGTGACTGGCGATCGAACAGAGAAAATCTGAGTAATCCAAAATCTGGTGCTCCTATACATGCACCATTGGGCTATTCTACCAGTAGGAACACGCTCTCCGCGTGAGGACGAAACTCCATTACCGATCAGATTGCTGATTACTTGTGAGGATACGACCCTCTTCTATAACTGCAATTTGTATTGAGTCAGTTAATAGCTGCATATCCAGCTTTATAATCAGAACAACATGTAACCCTTGGTGTTGCTATGCTGACAAAGCCCAAGTTATAGGAGCATCCTTTTCTATAGCACATCTTTAGCGGTCACGAGCATTTCGGTGTAGATATATTTGCTTGTACATCGACTCTTACGGCGTTATATTCTGTAATGATCACTTGCACTAATGGTGATGTCCATGGAGACTGCGTCAGAGGGTAAACGCAAATTCGCATGTAGTCAATTTTATAGGCTAAACTTCAGTTCCAAAACTACGCACAGCTACAGTAAGTCAAGCGTTAAGGACGATATCAACGTAAACAAGTGTCTACCTCAGAAATGCTGTCGTGTATGCAATGATGCTGTGACTTTTTCTTGTTTATCAGTGATTCCTATCAGTCGTTATTACACGGGTGTTCTCTAGCGAAGCTTTGCTCGACGACAGCTACTGTTGCCCAGCGAAAGCGGCGTTTTTCTATGAATTATAACGCTTCACTTATTCTGTAGGTGCTATCCTGCAATTTTAATTAGCTCAGAATATAGGAGTGGGCTTCATAACTGGGGTTTCGAAACCTGTGATTATAGCCGGATAGCCTTTAAAAGAGGATGCGCAAAATTGTCATGATGATATACCTCAAGATTTAGTGTGACTGATTTTGCCCCTCTACGTTCAAAATGTTTTTAAAACGTTAGTATTTTAATGGTTCATTTTTAATCCGTTACCCTTGCTTGCTGTTTGATCTGTGCAGCAAATCTCTTATTCCGGGCAGTGGTGACCTCTGTTTTTATTAAGTAGGAGAGGCTGAGTTTCCTGGTAATTTAAACTCAACGAACACAATGCAGAAACTGAAGCTTGTGATGCTGTGGTTGGTTACTGTCGCTTTCAAAAGCATGTGTGAGCAGAGACTTCTAAATACGGCGTACAGAGCTAGAGGTGACAGTTGTGCGTAATTCTTCAAGCGGATCAGCACAACATGCAAAAATATGTTTTTACAAAGCATCAGCAACCCTTTGGAAAAACTGTGGCGTAGTGCTTTTAATAAAATGCATTCCCACCTGTACGTACCTTTCCATTATTGACTGCAGCATCTGTCGCTTTTTTTCATCGATTAAAAAATTTATTGGTATGCCCAGTAAGAGCACTGTAGAGTGCTATATTAGAAGCGACAGCAGCCACGATTCAGTTATAGTATGAATTGTATTACACGTTTCGTTTGGTGATACGCTGCTGATGATTATGTCGATTCTGAAGGTTACATGTCTCCTTGCGTTGGTCTCGCTCGGGCTTGGACAGGTAGTATCACATACATGGTTACGATTATGTTAAAGCTAGTACTTTAGGTGAACAAGCAAATATCTCCTTTGTCTTCTAATGGCGTTCCTGACGAAAGATTCTCCTATCGGAAATCGGTCTTCAAAATGTTTCTTAACTTGAGGGCGTCCGGAACGATTACTACATCGTTTCGCAAATCCGTGGCGACGTTGTTCCATGCAACAAGTGATTTTGCTTTTCTAGTTTCATCTGGTCGCGAGTTTTTTGTCAGGTGAGGCGAAATATGCTATGCCAGATATGATTGTTTCATAGTTTGCTTCTTAAGCTCTTTGCGCATGATCCGTCCGACTTCTGTGTCTATCTTGTTAAAGAGCAATTCTTCAGCGACGATTTCAGTGAACCCGGTTTCAGTTCTCGTACATCGAAGCGCATCTACGTCCCCTCATTTCGATATCGCTGTACTCAAGGTTTCCCTATCCGGCTTGGACTCAGTGGTCTTCAGAAGTCCTGTTTCCATCGCCACAGTGGCGGAAGAAGCTAGCATCGCATTCAGCTGCGAAACACTGATCCAGAAGGGTATGTAAACAGATGAAGAACCATCTCCTTTCGCTCGCAACACCTGATGTTTAGGATTTCCAAAGGTTGCGACATTTGCAGCAACTAACTTCTCCATTGTCCATCACACAGAGTGCAGACTCTTGCGGTATCGGAATAGTACAATGTATTGTGGTTCTACGAGCAGTTCCGATGTCAGTCCGTTGTGCGTAAGTCAAGTTTAATAACTACGTTTAATACTACTATCGTTCAAGAATTTTGTAATATGGAAGTTCTTTTATTTTTCTAAGCTTAACAATGTTTCAGTGGCAAAATTGCATTGATTCATTATATCTCATATTTAGACATCAGTTGTTTTACACCACTGTAAAGTTTGCATTGGCTAAAGATAATAACTTTATGAAATCCTCAGCATCTAACGCTTATTCCACATGGAAATCTTTTTATTTGAGAGAAAGCATTTCATTGGCCTCTTGTCAACTTTTCAAGTTGTGGAGAAAACAGTTTTTGAGTCTACTTAATTACCATTGCACTTCTCTTCGCCTCAGTGGCTAGAGACACGAATAGACAGTTTTTCTTTAATTTATTGCACCGTCATTTGCACTGATCGTAAATCGAAGGTCATATGAGATTAATTTGTTCCGCTTTTACCAATACCGCGCCGTGTTCGATTTATGCTGAACATCGCTTCTGACTTTACACGTTTTAGTTCGATCAAAATCTTCCTTCTCCATGATTTTCATTTCATTCTGTGCTTGAACACTGCGCGGCATTCCGTAAGATTCTTCAAGATGGTTCTTGTAGTCTGCCTATGCATTCTTGCTGTGCATTGGAATGCACTGAGGTTTGGAGATTTTGATACAGTCCTCTGATTCTTTCATTGGCGATTCACCCTCATCTTGATATCCGTTTATAAAACCCGATCTAGGAAAGTTCACTGACGGAAAATTCACACCGACTGGAAAATTCACCAATGAGCAATTCGTCGAACGGAAAATTCACCGACTCTACAATAGAGCGCCGACGATTTTTTTTATTAAAAACCATGTAACGTGAAAAACTTAATTCATTTCATATCAAAAAGTATTGCCAATATTTCTATAAAATTGAAATCTGTTGATTTTGAATTAATTTGCTTGAAAATGATAATGATGTATGTACCTGTAAATTTCGAATAAAATAGATTTCAATGGATTAATTTAATTTCTGAAACATTATTTACACGCAATACCTAATTAGTAATTATATTGTGTCAGACCCTCTCAGAAACTCTAAAACATTACTTCTGTCATAATTCGCAATTACTCTGAAAGTCTCAGCAGATAATTGCATTTCGAATCCACGATGCCACTCTTCAGTTGAATTGTTTGACTTCGGAAGACCATGTCTTACACCGTGACAGTTCCTCATTTCTAGGGAGAAGCGGGGCATTCGGTGTCCCATGCGTCATTGAGAACGTCCATTCCAGCAATCCTCAAAGTAATCAATCAAGCGTTGTGCTTCTTCAGACATGTTGTCACCGCTACCGCTAAGAAGCTAAAACGCTTCTACCATATCTTCTGTTTGGAAAAGACCAACGCAGATAACAGTCGCATTCTCATAGCAAATTCGGCGTCATTTTTGAACCTTCTTTGAAGATTTTCTGCCTGAATCCTTGGAATATACACTGCGAGAAACGCAAGAAACATTCTCAATGCCTAACCCTTGGAAATTCTTGACGAATAGCACTGACTGCGGCAAGTTCCAATTCGGCCACAGCTGTTTCTGGGAAGGCATCAGGTTGAACCTGTTTTACTTGTTGCGATAACCCCTACCCGCAATCCCTGTATAAGGATGAAGCATGGCAATCATTGCGCTAATTAACTAATCTTTCAAGTATGCCATTTCTGAATAAATGCATTAGATAAAATTTAATTTTCTGTGAGTAGGTAATATTATGGTAATTATTCTGCTCATTAACATAATCTTTTAAATATGTTATTTCTAAATAATACTTTTTTATGATCACCATAAATAAATTATCGGCGATTAATTGTAAAATCGGTGAATTTTCCGTTCGACGAATTGCTGGTTAGTTGAATTTTCCAGTCGGTGAATTGCAGTCGGTGAACCGCCTGGATACCATAAAACCTCTTGTACATGTACATGAAAATACAACTCGCTTTGAATCTAGACAGCTTCAGCAGGGCAGCCGTTGTTCTGCCCGTTATCGCATGTGGAACGTTCGCGAAAACAGACCACCGTTCTTGCTGGCATCTTCTCTGTCCATAATTGCGAGGTCAAATCGCGTCTTATCAACTTGTATATGAAAACTGCTCCACATACCGATTGGCTAAATAACGCAATTACCATATTGGACATTGTTAAACCTGGAACATACAGTATCACAGAAGATCAGCGACTGTTCGACGCCGGTAACATAGTAAGTGAAGTGATTAAGAAAAGTACTGATAACAGACAATCTGTAATCCATTTTTTCAGGAAAGACCCCTTCCCTGCCAGTGGCCATCTGACTACAGTGGCGAACGAGAAGAAACGCCTCGTGATGCGTCACTTCTCAGCGTTTTGTCGAATGACCAGGTTCGAGTGGGCGTTTACGTCAAGGTTGACAATTTCACCAAACACGAACATATCATAGTGGCTCCTGCACATTTGTTTACAAATTATGTGATTTTCTTGTTTCTATAACCGTTTCCAAGATTTGCAGTGGTCGTTATCTCCATGAGCGGTTGACACCTTGCTTTTCATTGGGGTGCTTACGCGAAGGTTATTTTCAGTTAAAAGTTCAAAGGCAAAGGCTACTAGCGAAGATGCCAGTAGAAGAAAACGAAACATAGAAAACAGCAAAATTAGAAATCATTTTGACTCTGATGAATCAAACACCAAAAATGTTAAACCAAGGAGCAGTCGTTTATGAGAAAGAAAAACTAATAGGATGCTGAAGATCAACGTTCCCGTTTACCCCATTCGTCCATCAATCCGAAATAATGATATCATTTTCGTTTGATATCTGATGTGCGTAGTGTTAATTTATCTTATCTCTTTTATTGCAGTCAGTATCTTACTCCGTCTGCAGGACTGAATGACCATGTTCCTCTAGGAAGAATCGCTTGTTCGCTTGGTAGTTTATATAATCCATATATATGAAACATATAGTTTATATTTCTTTCAGAGATGAGAACCCATTTTGGGCATTTGTAAACCGTCGTTTCTCTGCTTGGGGTGATTTCAAACGTATATCTCAAGTAGTCGTACATCAGAACTATGTTCGGGATCCATTCAATTTCGATATCGCAGTTGGCAAAATCCATTTTGCTGGGGAAACTCTGCCGCGGATGCTTCCGGCATGCCTGCCGTTCTCTGAGTACAACCCCGCAGCTACTGGTTTACGCTTTTACGGTAAGAAGCAGTGTTGGTATGGCGATTTTGGTAGTGCAAATTCTGACCTATATTCTTTCCTTATTTCACGGAACTGCATTGTAGGAACGAATCGTGGTACATCGAAGACACTTCATATCAGAGACTTTAAAAGAATACGCTGCTCCTGCAACTCAACAGCAACGACTGTCTGCGTTCTTCGCAGTGATTCAGATGTCGAAACGGTAAGAAAGCGTTTTCGCTCGATTTATTTTTTACAACACGCAACATGCAATATTCGCGCGTATGTTTAAACACGGTCATCCTGATTGGGAGTTTTTCAAATCTGGGCATTATATATTACATCCCGGAAAGTGTTGACCTATATCTGCAAGATAGAAAGTTGAAAATGATAATCACTTCCCTTTGCGTGGCTACTGCCATTAAAAATGTTGAAGCAATTTTGGGGATGCCCTGAATAGACCAGCTGTAAAACCAATGAACGGTCCCGAGAGAAAAATGCTGTTGCAGAAGCGTTACGCTAAATCTAAAGTACAAGCACTTCACTACGCTTGAATCATTATGCCTGCAACGTCTTGTGATCACTGATCATATAAACAACAGTTATTATGTAAGAAATGTTCAACTTCTTTCATATATCCGTCAATCAGTGTTTGTTTTGTTTCATTAGTTCACCAGCGCTCTAAGAGGTAAATTACAGCCGATTGCTTTTCCAGAACCGTTCGATTGGGCTGAGTGGCACAACAAATCTAACGCCTTTTCCTCTGCTACAGTATCATGTCTTTACATATGCCTTGCTTCTAGGCGCCAAACGAAAGTCCGCTTCTCACGATCTCCAGCTATCTTGGCGTCAGACGTTCCAAACTAACTCTAGTTGGATTGCAACGCATGAACAACACCGGTGACGTCAGATGTTCTCAAGAAAGTCAGATGCAACCAACATTGCGGGTTTTCACCGATGTCTCTGCCTTTAGAGGATGGTTCGAAACAGCAATTGATTTTCTCAAACAGAATACAGTCGATGGGCTGTACTACCGTTGAACGCTTTTCGAGCATATGTTTGTGTTATCGGTATCGGTGACTATGTTATTGTTGCATTTTTATGATCGTGTGAGGTTTCAGGTTTTCTCATGTTTCACCAGGTAAAGCTGTTTTGAATAATGAAGTTGCGTACAACTGTATTTTCCATGTCGCATGACAAAGCATTAAAAGTCAGTGACGATGGAGCACTGGTCATCTGGTTGGCGTGATTCATATCAGCTCCGGATCATAAGCTCTGGGTCGTTCGCACGTTTAGGTGATCATATACTGTGAATGCAAACTTGCCATAAAAGGCACTATTTATCGCAGGTACGACAACATACTGAATATCGAAAGAAAGTCGATTCGTTTTTCTTTAGTGCAGATTTTCTGTCGGTCATTTCAAGGTAAGCAAATAGATGCAGTCGAGGTTGACTATGCAAGAAAGCACTGAAACTGCGCAAATTGTGAGATTGTATCAACGGAAATATTGCACTGAACGTTGATGACGTCTTGATTCTGATCTGCACCGAATAACAGCTATTCCGGCAAAGAAGTTGCTTGAATATGAGGATCTGTGCGAGAGACGAACAGCTCCAGCCTTGTTTTCAAATAGTGTCGCTATACGTTCTGAATTTGACACTTTATTTTTGCTTGATTCATGGGTCAACGAAAGAGACTGGTCGATTTGCAATTACGTTATAACTAGAAGCACTTTTGCACATCGACTTTGGCTTCTTATACGGGTAAAGTGAGAATAAAGCTCTTTGAAGTCAAACTACGGAGACTCGTTCATATTGTAATACCAGTTTCACCAAAATTACCGACCCCTCTACCTCAGGGGAGACGAGGATACTCATATCGGCACTGCTCAATCCACTTTGCATTGACCGCGAAAATGATGTCCCATCGTACAAGTCAATCGTTTCTATTTCATCTGGAAAATTAGTCAACGTCTCTAATAGTGCATCAGTCCTTTGCAGATAAAACGTTCCTTTCGTCTTCCAGACAAAGAACATAGTCTCCAAATGTAGGCAGAACGGGACAGACATATTTCGCTTTTACACTGCAATGTAATTCGGTTAAACGAGCGATCACCATTGTCTGTAGTCTAGGAGATTCCCTCGCAAACGGAATAATGCCTGAAGTTCGTTTCTAATCACCGGGCATGCCACAGAAGTATCAGCGATCAGATCGGGCTAATCTTTACAACGAAATCTTTCACAATAAGGAAGTCCTATCTGCCACGGTTATCCGAAGGGGTTTGAGAGAAGTCCAATAAAAAGAAAGAACGGCTTCGCTGAACGATCAAATGATCGCTCTGAAATTGGCGGTTTGCATTTGTTCTTTCAGTCTTTCAGAATCGAGCAGTTATCAAATTAGACGATAAATTCACATCTGGCTTAACGAAGACTATGACAAAGTGGTCATAGGTGAATGGAGTGATACTGTTCAATCCACAAATTGTACGGAGTGTCAAGGGCCTCACATCCGTTAAGCCGCTAGAACAGTAAGAACAGGAATAGTACAATACAGGTGTAATCGTGAATGGGACGACCGAAGAAAAGTGAGGTTTAGAACAAAGATGGACAACGGTCTTCACAAAAATTCCAGTGTCTAGTTCAATTATTCAGCTCCTGGACGATGACGGGTAAACAAGAAAAGTATATAGAAGCTGAAACGCTTCTAATCAAGACAAAGTGCAATGTTAATAAGAAAGAAGAGGAAGTTTATATCGCCGTGTCATGACAACATTTATATAGCTTGAAATGTATACCAAACAGCAAATGCAGTTACACCCTGACTAATTTTTGCTGCACTTTTGAATATTTGTATGGTTTACATCATGAAAGTCGAAGTCTTGTGACATCAGCCGAAACCTTGAACATGAATCGAATCCTTCGTAATCCGCGCAATGTTATATCCTACCCATTGAAAAGAGTCTGACAAGTCTTAGGCGTTATTATGTTCATTTTTCATTGAAACAATTTTGGCCATTCTTCAGCAGAGCGGTATTGCAAGAGTTCTATCTGGTCTAGCTGTTGAGCCTGCTACATAGTGAATATGTGCAAGTTTTCTGGTTTAATTTAAACTGACTTCCTTCCTGACTTGAAAAACGATAAGAAGATATTTTATGATGACAAGAATGTATATACGTTAAACATCCATACAGGAAGAGTGAGAAAGTTTGCAGTGTCGATAGTAAATTAGCCTGTTGTGGTGTGTGGTCCAACGATCATCTCGGATCCAAAGAATAATACCTGAAAATCGCGTACTGTCAGTTGCAAAGTACAACTGTGCGTGAAGGTGCGAAAAGCTGATTTTAATGATAGTCGAACTTTTAAATATTATCCCTAGGGTTGCCCTTTTGACAGGAGAATAGTTCATAGTTTCTCTATTTTGATTGTTTATTTCGAATGTATACCTAAGCATGGTTTAGAGTCGTGAAAAATGCTAATTTGATGTAAAAGTCTTTTGTTGGATGCATTTTCGCTAGACTTGATTCCTTGTTCTTTTGTCTTATTAATTGTGCATTATTTATTATAGGATTGAAGCTTTAGAACAGCGTTTGAGGTCCTTGTGTTTCTACAGTAATGGGTTAACTGTTACATTGCTGGGTAAACTTGATGTTCCTGTTCGCCAAGACCAGTTTTATGTTCTACTTAGGTTTTTTCGTGGATTTACCTATAGTTGCATTGCTAATAGATGTTTTAAAGTGTCAGTATTTCATATCTACTTAAAAACGTTATTTCAGAAATGGAACTAAAGATAATTACAAGCTATTATGGATCTTTGGAAATTCGATTTTACTATCCGCTGTGACACTCTTTCTCAGAGTAGCACTTTATTGCTTTTGCCAGCGTCTTATAAACAGTATGCCAGCGCACTATATTTGTTTTTATGCTAAAATCTCAGTTGATGTCCATGAGGATTCTGCCAAGGACCTGTCCAATTTTAAAACCATATGGTTCTTTCCTGGTCGTGGGCAGAATTTGTCTGTCAGTTTCGAGATGGCCGT